CACTTCAGCCACTGTGGTATCTTGGCTGACGATGGTACTTCCAGTTGACTCTCGCTCAGAAATGCCTTATCATATTTCTGATTGATTGCGTTTATGTATTCTTAACTCTAGGCTGGATATTTTGAAAGGATTTTTTTGCATTGGGTATACATATTTTCTATTGTATGCTCTGCCGTGTTTTGTATCACTAGTTGCAATGTTGTTTTCATGTTGGAATGTCTTATCGAGTTTCTAATCTACTGGGATCAAGGCCTATATAGGCCTATGCTTATTCTCGATTTTAATTGAGATATTTCGAAGGGATTGTTGCCTTGTACATACATATTTCATATTGTATGCTCAACCCTCTATCTGTATTTCACTATTTTATTTTGAAATGCCATGTAATTCAGATAATCTGAAATTACACTGAAATACTATAAGTAGTAAGATTATCATGACATCATAAACATGGAACGTCATGCAAATATATCCCCTAATAGGATTTACGAAATATCACCATGGACGTCATTACAAGATCTATCAAACTATATTTTTGGATGATCAACATTTATTTTGTGAACACCTCACATGCAGTCTCAGCTGAACATACTTAACAGAAAAAAGTATTGCGCAAAATAAGTTATTTTATTGTATTTTATTCATTTGGGGGGAATTTTGTTCATGTTAGAAAAAAAACGCTGTTCACAAGATGGATTTATGGATTTCGTGCATGCTGTTGATTTATGGCATTTTATGATTCAGTTAGAGTCTTCTGCTTTACAAATATCTACGGCAGAAACAAAATATATACATATCAATAATGAATCTTTATGATCATTTAGTGTGTACTGATGTTCATGTAATTTTATATACATTTTCCTTACACTTACGTCAAAAGAACAATATTTATTTTCCATGTCATTTAACCCACACTTTCTATCTACTTTCTTTTATTTCATTTACTTTTTTATCTTATATTTGATAAAAAAGATAGCGTTTTGCCCTGTACCTTATCCATGAACACATGACACAAATATGCCCATGGCACAGATCGGGCCAAGCAGACACATATCTACCCGGGCACACGTGTTCAACTGTGTCCGCACATATGATTTAAATCCAGACATGCTCGGTCAAGTGGCTGTTCGTGTTGGTTGTAAAGTTCTCTTTTACGAGATAAAGAGTTCAGCGTTTTTCTTTTTTTTTGTGTGTGTGTGCGTCAGGATAGGCCGAAGAATGTAAATATCTTTTATGACCCATGCAATTTCTTTTTCCTGTTCTCAATGCATCCTGCAGCTGTTACATGGATCGTTGATATTTTTATCTATTATTTATTTCACGTGTTAAAATCGCATTTGTAACAACATGAGCATGATAGATAGTCTATAACGAGAAATGAAATTAAAAATCGATTTGATTCATAAATCAGATCCCTACCTAAACCAGGCGAAGCATCACAAAGACTTGAGTGCTTTCCTAATGATGCCATTAGTATAATTAACGTATTATTTCTTACTCTCACTATTTCCTCAAATAGGTCAAGACAAAAATATATCCCTCACTGCTATCATTTACCCTGCGTGCATAGACAACATGTTTTCCCCCAAAAAAATGATGATAACAGTATACATAATAGCAAGAAAAAATACTTTAAAATGGGAGCATCAGTTCAGTCTCACAAAACCGAGTGAAAATGAGGTCAGGTTGTCTGCTCTGTCACCTATACCACACCTCTAACCTAGCACATAGTGATGGTACTTTTTATAATATAAAACCGTGGTGCTTTTTGTTAAATTCGTGATGCCTCTTCGTTTTTATTTTTTCTTATATAGTTTTGGATAGGATAACGGAATGCTATACTACTTTATAATTAGCATATGTTCTGTGTTTATTCAGTCAGTCAGAATCCAGTGGTTAAAACTATTCACTACGGAAAAGTCAAATCTCAGTCGACATATGAATTTATCTTATAAATGCTTAACATTCATACAGCATCATAATAACGGAACGAAAAAATAAAATGCCCATCTTCAGACACAGACGCGGAGGTGGGTGTTCCATACCCATTGTGACCAACATGAGGTATGGGTACAAAGCCCAGTTGCTGACGAGTGTTTTTACATCTTACAAAATGTCATTTTTGGAGGGGGATTCGGCACTTCTCTAAGGCCAGATTTGCGATCATCATGTAAATGTAGAACCTCGGTCTTATTTAGATTTGCGTTTTGGTTATGATCTTATCCCTGGCTAAGGCTTCATTGTCTCTCAAATCCCTCTGCAAAATCAGGTAACGAAACTCGTGGGGAAAATGACCTCAGGCAGTTGAGCCTCTTGGGTGAGGGCAGTTACTTATTCCCATTTTTTGCTGACTTTATTTTCCACCAGAAACTGACATTCCGCTGCCGTAAGCCGGTTCTCTGATGGGTGCATGGTTTTGTTAAAAGCAGAAATATTATTTGATTGGAAGTATGATATCGTATTGGTAATATCGAAGGAATCTATCCTAATTTAAGAAATTAAATTCAGGATGATCTTTCAGGCCCATGTCAAATGACTCCTGCCAGATGTACGAAAAATGAAAATACGCATTTTTTCATTAATCAGTAACTAATTGATAGGGAAATTGATGAATTTATACAGATACGATATCATGCATCATAAATAAGATTACATCATACACTGATATCAAATAATAATGCGTTTATTTCAATGTTAAAGGAATCACTCAGCGCGTACGACAACCGGCCAAGGAACCTCCGGCATCGCGGTTGAGCGCTAGTCTCAATTTTTCCTAAGGTGTTAGTTGTCTCCTGCCATTCGCCGTTTGTGCACCACGATGCTGCGTTCGTCAGCTGGAGATTTGTGACATGAACATCTTTTTTTTATGAGTTGAAGGGCGTATTAGACAGTGATTAGAGTGCGTTTGTTTGACTTGTGGAGTGAACGAGTCCGTGTCATGTGGAGAATTGATCTGGATTCTAGTTTAGAAACTGGTGGGCACGTGATTAATTGCTAAGTGAATTGACTCGTGATTTATTGTGTTTACAAAGATTTAATGACGTGAGCATCTGGCCCGATTTAAATAAGGACTTTTATCGACAAGTTGACACTTTTAATATCATAAATTAAAGTGAGAAAATTAAACTTTCTTCAGAACGAGTCTTTGTTTATCGTGTCATTAGCAAATCGTGACTGGATTCCGACGCCGTTTCGAAATGTCAGCTCCTCCTAGCTTGAAGTGACGAGATAAGGCATTAGCACCGAAGTTCGTGCCATGAAACGGGCTCCTCGAGGGTGATGTGCGACGCCCAGGGGATGCCCCAGACCGTGTGAAGACGCGGCGTGTGAAAATCTCCCGAAGGACTTCTCGATAAGCATCTCAGCCCCGCGCAGGACCCGACCTCCCGAAGATGGGCGAGGTGGCCGAGGAGAGCTTCGACAACTACGGCAACAACCGCATGAAGACGGTGGTGGACAGAGTCAACCGAAATGCGAGGTGCCGGTGCTGCCTGTGGATGGTGGCGCTGTGGTGCGCGGCCACGGTGATCTTCATGCTGGCGGGGTACGACCGGGTGGTGCACTCGGTGGCCGTGGATCAGATGGTGCTGAAGCAGGGCAGCCAGAAGTACGAGGCGTGGGTGGACACGCCCGTGCCCGTCTACTACAAGGTGTTCGTCTTCAACCTGACGAACCCCGAGCAGTTCATGGCGGGAGGGCGGCCGCGGGTGCAGGAGCGCGGGCCCTACGTCTACCTCCTGAAGGAGTCGAAAGAGGAGGTCAAGTTTCACAAGAACGGGTCGGTGACGTACCGGACGCGGCCGCTGTACTTCTTCCAGCCGGACATGTCAGCCGGCTCGGAGGACGACGTCATCATCTCAGTCAACATTCCCTTCGTCAACGCCGCCGATGCCGTCAAGGACCAGGGCTTCCTGCGCATGGTCATTCAGATCGCCAAAAAGATCCACGGCTTCGAGACCCTGCGGAAGCTGACGGTGGGCGAGCTCCTGTGGGGCTACAAGTCGCGCGTGATCGACTGGGCGAGGACACTGCAGGAGCTGCCGTACCCGCACCAGCTGTTCGGCCTGCTGGTGGGCTTCAACGACTCCATGCAGGAGCCGTACACGATGCACACGGGCAAGGGCGACGCGGCCAAGATGAACCAGATCATCGCGTGGAACGGCCGCGAGCGCCTCGACTTCTGGAGCGGCGAGCGCTGCAACGAGATCCGGGGCACCGACGCCAACGGCTTCGCGCCCGGAGTCAGCAAGCAGGACACGCTCTACATCTTCAACGGGCAGCTGTGCCGCGCGATCCCCCTCGTCTACAACGACACCGTCATCCAGTCGGGCATCGCCGCCTTCCGCTTCGTGCCGCCCGACGACGTCTTCGCCTACGGCAAGGCCAACCCGCACAACAACTGCTACTGCAGCGGCGAGGGATGCCCGCCCTTGGGCATCCTGGACATGAAGCCGTGCTACTGGGGCGCGTCCGTGGGCTTCTCCTTCCCGCACTTCTACAAGGCGGACCCCAAGCTGAGGCACATCGTCCGTGGGCTCAGGTAAGAACGGCGGTCAAGCTGGTATGTCTGTATTATTAGTAATGTCAGTTGTAACCGTTGCCCGGGTTGTACTTAGATGCATGCTGGAAGACGTTTATTTGTGTCTTATTGTTTTTGTCGCGCGTCTGGGTCTTATCGGATCATGGGCTGTTTGCTTACTCCAGTATTTTTCTCTACGTGAAAATACCCTTATTACAAAATTACAAATAATAATGATAATAATAATAAACGATTACCACAATGTACAATTGCAAATGCAACAGCGTCGCCCGAGCACAGTAAATCAAGTAATCGTTCTGGCAATACCTGAAAATCCCGTCCCGAGTGTAGGTCGACCGCCGTCAAGTTGCACCTCCGTCATCAGTCCTTCCGTGGGAGCGAAGGTGCTGCCCAATAAACCGCCCTTGCACTTAATCCCGGGTTCTCCTCGCTGACCTCCCCCCTTACAATGATCTTAAGGGGTTATCGGCGTGGCGAGACATCGGAAGTCTCATTTCAAGGGGCGCGTGAGGTAAGGGGCGGCCAGGGCGATCCATTGATGGCGAGAGCGACCCCAGGTTCAAGTGGCGGGTGATGGAAGAGGCGAGCGGAGAGGGCGAGGTGGCCAGGCAGGTCCCTCGCTCGGACGGACGGCGCGGAAGGTGTAGGATGGTGGTGGTGGTCAGACGCTGAGGCCGCTTTCCCGGGGACGCAGGTGTAGGGAGGCGAGGAGGCGAGTCCCCACACTCTGTCAGGCTAGTTAATGGGCGTATGGCGGGTGGGGGTGGATGTGGAGGGGAGAGGGGCTAAGGGAAAGGAAAAGGAGGGGGCGTGGAAGGAAAAGCTAGGCTTAATCGCGAGTGTTGTCGACTCGGCTCTCTTACGCAACCGATTTTGACGCCGAAACCCGAAGAGCGAGCAACAGCTGTTAGCGCTCTTGTCCTGGGGCAGATTCCCGAAGGAAATTTGCATATGAATAAGTGGGAATCTTTACCTTGCACGACATTTTAGCTCTCACCCTCTCGGCTCGGATGAATGGTCTGCGCGGTGTCAATCCGACAAGGCAGCGTCGGACGGAGCAGCGGTGCGTGTGGGTTTTTCTTAAGGGCGTATCGTCTCCTTTCCCGGTGTGGGGAAGGCGTGGGAAACGAGGTCTGGGCGTCTTTACTTATATGCTGGCTTGTATGCTGTTGCTTTTTATTTGACATTAAAAAGGCATTATATCGTCACTCTGGAAGCAATACGCCATCGATTAGATTACGTATCATTAGACGAATTAAGTGATTAAGCCCTGTAAAGCGTATTAGAGCGTGCGTTACATCGATAGAGAACTGATTGTTATACAATGGATTTGGTTATGTAAACAACACTACCCTTATCAAATTAAAATGGAATTTCATATATAAACTAAGAAAGCATTTAATAATAATAATAATAATAATAATAATAATAATAATAATAATAATAATAATAATAATAATAATAATAATAATAATAATAATAATAATAATAATAATAATAATAATAATAATAATAATAATAATAATAATAATAATAATAATAATAATAATAATAATAATAATAATAATAATAATAATAATAATAATAATAATAATAATAATAATAATAATAATAATAATAATAATAATAATAATAATAATAATAATAATAATAATAATAATAATAATAATAATAATAATAATAATAATAATAATAATAATAATAATAATAATAATAATAATAATAATAATAATAATAATAATAATAATAATAATAATAATAATAATAATAATAATAATAATAATAATAATAATAATAATAATAATAATAATAATAATAATAATAATAATAATAATAATAATAATAATAATAATAATAATAATAATAATAATAATAATAATAATAATAATAATAATAATAATAATAATAATAATAATAATAATAATAATAATAATAATAATAATAATAATAATAATAATAATAATAATAATAATAATAATAATAATAATAATAATAATAATAATAATAATAATAATAATAATAATAATAATAATAATAATAATAATAATAATAATAATAATAATAATAATAATAATAATAATAATAATAATAATAATAATAATAATAATAATAATAATAATAATAATAATAATAATAATAATAATAATAATAATAATAATAATAATAATAATAATAATAATAATAATAATAATAATAATAATAATAATAATAATAATAATAATAATAATAATAATAATAATAATAATAATAATAATAATAATAATAATAATAATAATAATAATAATAATAATAATAATAATAATAATAATAATAATAATAATAATAATAATAATAATAATAATAATAATAATAATAATAATAATAATAATAATAATAATAATAATAATAATAATAATAATAATAATAATAATAATAATAATAATAATAATAATAATAATAATAATAATAATAATAATAATAATAATAATAATAATAATAATAATAATAATAATAATAATAATAATAATAATAATAATAATAATAATAATAATAATAATAATAATAATAATAATAATAATAATAATAATAATAATAATAATAATAATAATAATAATAATAATAATAATAATAATAATAATAATAATAATAATAATAATAATAATAATAATAATAATAATAATAATAATAATAATAATAATAATAATAATAATAATAATAATAATAATAATAATAATAATAATAATAATAATAATAATAATAATAATAATAATAATAATAATAATAATAATAATAATAATAATAATAATAATAATAATAATAATAATAATAATAATAATAATAATAATAATAATAATAATAATAATAATAATAATAATAATAATAATAATAATAATAATAATAATAATAATAATAATAATAATAATAATAATAATAATAATAATAATAATAATAATAATAATAATAATAATAATAATAATAATAATAATAATAATAATAATAATAATAATAATAATAATAATAATAATAATAATAATAATAATAATAATAATAATAATAATAATAATAATAATAATAATAATAATAATAATAATAATAATAATAATAATAATAATAATAATAATAATAATAATAATAATAATAATAATAATAATAATAATAATAATAATAATAATAATAATAATAATAATAATAATAATAATAATAATAATAATAATAATAATAATAATAATAATAATAATAATAATAATAATAATAATAATAATAATAATAATAATAATAATAATAATAATAATAATAATAATAATAATAATAATAATAATAATAATAATAATAATAATAATAATAATAATAATAATAATAATAATAATAATAATAATAATAATAATAATAATAATAATAATAATAATAATAATAATAATATTGGCCGGACATAACACCATGTATTTATCTAGGTCTCTCGTCAGAATATCGGTGACGGCCCAATAGACTGACAGGCTGAGAACCACCAAGTGTGTCGCAAAAACAGTCTTTTAATCTCATGGACACAATTTCTCCAAACATTTAGTGTGTGGGTGTGGGTTCCAATCGTTTCAACACAGGAGGGGGTTAATGAGTTTTTCAATAATGTCGTTCAAAAAAAGAAAAAAGAAAAACGTAAACAACAACTGGAAAATCCAATTACGTTAGAAAGCCTCGCACATCGTAAGAGAAAAGTCCTTCAGAAGACGGAGAGGGACAGGTGATAGAAACCCAATAAGTGGTTCGCTGTAAATCACCTTTGTCCGGTTCTCAGCAGCTGTTGTCGCGGATAAGATCTCGAGCTGATTATCTGTGACCTGTGTTCGATAACGGAAGATATTACTGTGATTCAGTCATATGCGACGCGTAAATATGGATATGAGAAAAAAAGACAAATAGTTGGTGATTTTTATATCGGAAGACCCACTAGATTTGTTTTTTCTTTTTTTTTCTCTTTTTTTATTTTCCCCCTTTTCCCTTTCCCCCTTTTCTTTTTCCTTTCATTTTTTCTTTCTTTTTATGTTTTTTTTCCTTTTCCCCTTTCCTTTCCCTTTTTTCTTTTTTCCTTTCATTTTTATTTCCTTCTATATTTTTGTCTTTAACCTTTTTTCAATTTTCTTTTTTTCCCTTCTAATGACGTAATTAAGTGATAAGTAAGAGACACCGCAGTGGAGTGAAGCAACGCCTTGCCTGGAGCTGGGTTAGGAAAGCGCAAGAGCCGGTGTTTTGGGGGGTCACGTCGAGCCATTGAAGAGTGCAAAAAAAAGGTGACAGCATTTCAGCATATACTGCAACATCACAAATTATAACCAGCAAGCAGAAGAGAGGCACTGAGGCACCGGCTGTCCTTACCTTTAGAAGGCCGAGAGGAAGGAGGAGGAACGAGGAGGAAGGTGGAGGTGGAGGTAGAGGACGGGGAGACAGCAGATTGGTGGAGGTGGAGGAGGAGGAAGAAGAAGAAGAAGAAGAAGAAGAAGAAGAAGAAGAAGAAGGAGAAGAAGAAGAAGAAGAAGAAGAAGAAGAAGAAGAAGAAGAGGAAGAAGAAGAAGAGGAAGAGGAAGAAGATGGAGTGGAGTAGGAAGAGAAAGGAGGGGGGGGGGATAAGGAGGAGGGGGAGCGGAAGGAGAAAGGAGAAAGATGCAGATGAGGAATCCAGAGGAATAGGAAGAGGGAATGGATGAGGGAGGAGCAAGAAGAAGGAAAGGGAGAGAGAAGGGAAAAAGAGAAAGACGAAGTATGATAATGGTAAAATAATGATTGACACGGATAATGAACACATTGTATAAATTACAGTTATTCTTTCTACAATAACCAAAGCCGTATAAGTATAGAAAATCAAATCATAAGTATATTTACTTACTATAAAATTGTGGACATCTTAAAGCTCGCGGTTGTAAGCTCGTGATAACTGATGATGCGGTCGTCACTAAAATTGCAAATATCTATCCAGCCTTTACTCGCCAAGGTTTCTTTCTGGAGACCGAGAAACCAACATTACAAAATGCTTCAGTTTCTGAAAAATAAAGAATCTCTCAATTTCCTAAAGGTAAACTGATAGTCACGCTATTTTGAGATTGTCCCAATTTTTAAAGCTTACAGAATGTCCTATTATCTTAAACATAAAGAAAGGCCCAATTTCTTAATCTTACAGAATGTCCCACTTTCTTAAGCTTACAGATTGAACCAATTTATTAAAAGACATCCAGGGCATCCCAGTGTATCAAACTCACATAATTTCCCAATTTGGGAAAACATTCAGAGTATCCCAATTCCTCAAGCTTACGTAATGCCCTATTTTCATTCGACATACACAGAACATCCCAATTTCTAATGCACACAGAGCACCTCAATGTCTCAAGCCTCAAGAATATACCAATTTCTCTAAGCTTACAGAATGTCCCATTGTATTAAACTCGCGTTATTTCCCAATTTGGGGAAACATTTACAGCATACCAATTCCTT